TTCAGTGAATATCCTGAACCTACCCCACTCTTCAATTTCATGCTACCACTTTGAAATGAATTAACATCTCAATCTATGTTTATGAATACTTGAAATCTCATGGAGTCAATTGAACAAATAACATACCATGTAAACACATCATCATGATGATCAGATAAGAATAGTAAATGAATTGAGAAGAAGGAGAAAAAAAAAGTTCTGATCTTCATTTTCAATGAGTAAATGAAGTTGATGCAAAAGAAGGGAAAAAATTCTGAATGTTAAATGAATTATAAGAATCATTTTTTATTCATTCTGATTGAGTAGTTGATTGTTGTTCCAATTGAGGGTGGATAATATTAGCCAAGGGATTGAAACAACAACAACAAGTCAAATGAACCTGAGATTTTCCCACCGAGAAGTAAGTAGGAATAGCTTCTTAAACCAGATAAACCGCTTCCCTTATATCAACAGAATCGAGCGATATTTATTTTTGTTTGCTTCTTTTTCTTGAATTCAGTTCAGAACTTTTTTAACATTCATGATAAACTAATTCTGAGCCGGATTAAAATTACATGTAAACCATGAGAGTGGCGGTGGAAAATATTTTTTCATAACATTATGATGGGATAATGCAAACAATCAAAGCAATTGAACAATCATTATTCAAGATGAAATAATTTCCACCCAGAACTATCTGATTAAATTCATTCAATGTAATAAAATATTATGAGAATGAGTAACAATCACCAGAAACCAGAGATTTGTAGTCAAATATTTCAGAACAGAATTAAATTATCTCTCGATTTCATGAATTACTTTTCATGATCACTTTTATTGAGACGATAAACTCACTTGAAGATTTTTTTTTTCCTTCTCTTACATTAGAACAAATTTTCTCAGTTTCAACTATCTGAGCTTCTCGAACTGTACATATACACACATAAGAACAGTTCTAGAACATAATATTAGTGGTGAAAAGTTTTCTATCAAACTGGAAAATCACAAACAAAACTTTGAATTTCAATTGAATTTTAAATCACCATAATCGTCAAATTGGATCAATATTAAATTGTTATCATTGATAATGTGCTGAGAAATGATTAAAGCTTTGATACTCAACGATTGACCATAACAATTTGATTGACCAGTAAATAAGATCATTGGATTCTCAATTCGTAATTGTAATTCAACAGGTTAACAAATTGTCATCAGATTTTCATGGTTGGTGAAATGTTTGAACCTCAGAAAAACTCAGAATGGTTTTCCAATTGATTGGAAATTAGTTTTGTTTTTTTTCAATACAGTTAATGATCAGTTTAAATGGTAATAAATTGTTAACTATTAGCCAAGTAAATGATTACAGTTATCTGAACATTTTTTTAACAGTTATCCTTAATGATGATGAACATCATGAAGATGATTACAATTCGGATTTGGAAAGTTATCTTTTTTTTACTTGATATCTTCAATTGCAATTAGATAACAATCAATGGGATTTAATTTTAATTCAGTTCATTAATGAAACTTGTGAGTTGATCATTATGATTAAAGAAAATGTTATCCACTGATTGTTATCAATTTCATGAAGCACTGGAAAGTTTGTTAATGGAGAGAGAAAGTTTTCTCGGTGAATTTGTTAGTTTATCATGGAACAGATTCTGATTCTGATACATGATTACCATGGTGATGAATCTTGAGAGTCCATCAGTTATCCTTTACGAGGATACATAGTAATACAAATGTAAGATGATGATGATGGTGAAAAGAGTCGGGATGATGATGATGATAATGATCATCATCATCATGTCAAGGGGATTCAAAGTGAGATTGAGACACAACTTTGAATGAAAACTGTGGATTCAAGTTGAATCTTGTTCATGATTGCAATCAATTGAAACATTCATGTTATCCAATGTGAATTTTGAAAACCTTGGTGATAATGTAAGAGGTGGTTCAATGGTCATAACGGTCAGTCTATGGACATAACTTGAATTTATCTCCATGATCCTGATATATGATTAAGGATGAAAAAAAATCTTTCAACGTTAAATGTTAATAATATCACTTGATACACTTTTCATTGATAGTTATTTTTTTTCATTCTTTATCACCTGAGAATCATCATCTTCCTGGTCAAGCTTTATGACTGGTCATTTTATCCTCATCATCTACTGATTGTTGTTTCCAATTTTTTCTGTCAACTTTCATCTTTTTTTCCCTCACCTTTAATGATATTGCAATTAAATCTTTATCCAGTAACTTATGTCCACCTAACGGTCAATCCTCTTGATGATATTACGTTTATATAGTTTGTCAATCAATCTGATGGACAATCAAGAGTTAAGTCAAGCTTTAGGTGTTTTTTGCTGTTGTTAATCACTTTTGATGATGAAAATATTGACCAACATTGTGAGAGTTAATTATCAAATCAATAGTTTTCTGATCAAATTGTTCAATCAAATCAATCTCACGATGAATATTTAATTAGACAATTTCAAGTAAAATCACAGAAGACAAACTACTTGACCTTAAGTTGAAAGAAACTGTAATCAAAATCAATTAGTTGACTTGATTGGACAACAATTAACAAGTTACTTTAATTGTTGCCAATGTAATCATGCAAAAAAAGTTACAATCAGGTAAATAAAAATAATCTTATAATGAACATGATCAAAAAGTAAATCAGTTGAACAGTAATTACAAGTGATAAGGTAAATATTACCATTGTCACTTAATCACAATGTCTAATCTGGTGATTAAACTAATCATTGATTTGGTAATCAAATAATTGTATGAATCAAGAATGAATTGTTGTTGAAAAAAATGGATTCCAATATAAATTCAGTAACTTGAATGGTCATTTTTTTCAGATTATCCAAAAGAATCCGGATTAAGACTATTGGCTATTTAGTTGGTTATTAGCTTTTGGTCATCATCATTATCATCATCATGGTATCTCAATTTAATGGATACTCATTTATCATCCATGAGACAAAAAAAAAGGTCAACTTAAATGACATAATAATTTGTTGACTGAAACTCTGAACAATAATAATAATCATCATGGTTATCATCATTTTTGGAGGAAAAAATTTTTAGGACAATGTTGCAAATCCTTATTTCTTACTTTCTTTTACTCATCATCATCTTCATACATTTCCAAACTCATCATCATTGAGTTTCCATGTTTACTGAACCACAGATAACCATTCAATCATTCAAGTGGGCATCAAATAACTTTTACCAATGAAAGTAATGAGGATGAAAAGAAGTGAAAAAAAGTTACTCTCTCTTATGATCTATCAATAATATATCATTCCCACCGAGGATGATGAGCTCATAGTGGTGGTGGTGATGACATGGTTATACTATTCCAGAGATATTTTCATCTTTAACATCATCCTCTTACCTCCAGAGAGCGAGAGAGAGAGAGAGAGAGAGAGAGATTCAGAACTCCTTGGTTACCTCTGCTATTCGATAAGTATAAAAAACTATTTCAAACTGAGAACTTGAACTTTTCAGAATTTATGAACAAAAATATTTGATAGTTTCTTTTATAATAGTTAGTGATTATTCAATCTAATTGATCCAAACTTAAGATTGCGATTTATTTATATCATAATCTATCGGAATTCAGATAGGAGAACGAAGAGAATGAACTTTTTTCACGGTGATCAGGTGAATTTAGAAACTCAAGGATTCAAATCCTGAAATTATGAATTTAAGTTAAATTTCACATGTAAACACGAGAAAAAGTTGTCTAATGATTTTGAATTGATTGACAGTTACAAAGGATTCTAATTGTGCTAATAGTTTTTGTCATAATCGATTAGGTTATGAACAAAGATAAACAAGAAAAAAGTTTCGATAACTTTTATTCAGATTCCATTGGAAATATCACAATGACTGAATTTATTATTTTCCTTCCTGGAGCAATTGTTATGTTCATTTTGATTCAGTTGCTTTATTCATTTGATGATAATAATTATCATCAAGTTGATTAACTAATGAGCATTTAATATGTTTCTTTATCAACAATTTTTCCTTCATTCTCATTATTTCAACTCCCACAAAATTAATTGCAACCAATTAATTTTCCTCGATCATACAACTCAAACTCTACCTGAAACTTATCAGAGACTAAGCGATAATATTTAACTAAGAGGTGATTCTTTAATGATTAAACCATTTGTTGGATGGAAGAAAAAAGTTCATCAAATATCATGAATAGATTCAAATGATTACATATTCATCAGCATTTTCTCATTGGAAAAAACTTTAAGAATCTTATCCTTTTATTCATGGTGAATTCCAACCACATGAAGATAAACATTTGTGTCAAAGAAATGAAATTTCAGAAGAAAGTTTCAATTTTCAAGAATCTATTCTGAACTTGGTGAAATGTTCATGATAATAGTTACATAAGGAGTGAGGATGATTGAACAAGATGATAATGATAATGATAATCAGTAAATAATACATCTGATACTCGGTTGGTTGAATTTTAATTTCATTTACTCAGTAATTTTGTTCAATTTTCATGATAACTTGAAGTTAATTGAGAGTAAGAAGTAAATAAAATCAACAATTTATATATCATGTTAGATGAATGAAACTAATTCAAGTTGACTTAAAGATATAAATATTAATAGTAAATGAGTTCATGAAGAGGTCTCTTTTTTTCATGAGGTGAGAGAAAAAGTTCTGCAAGATTTTTCAGTTGCATGAGTTTCATTAATATTATCATGATATCGATGAATATATTACTCAAATTATTACATTGTTATCACTTTACTAATCATCTTAAGGCTATCAACTTTTATTCTCATGCGTTTATGATAATATCATGATTATCTCATGATAACTCAAGGGGAGTGAATATGAAAAAGGAAACGGAACCGCCAATGGGATTTAATCTTTTGCATGAAGAAATTAGAAAGTATTTTCGATAAATGTTCAATCAATAGATTCGTCACAATTTAGAACTGAATTAAGATTTATTCCAATTCGATACATACCTGAGATTCCTTCATATGCCCACCACTGTTCCCATGAAGCGATGACCAAATGACCCTGATAGGAGGGAGTCCAGGGGAATGATGATAACATATAATTCACTGAGATGAATATGATTGTCATCCACTTTGATTGAAAGGTAAACATCACCATGAAAATTTCCGTCAGGTTGATTAACATGATTAACTTTTTTATTCTGTCAATCGAATGGAAAAGTTAATCACAAAAGGAAAAGAGAAACGATTTATACACTTGAATAATCAGGGAATAAGATTCATTGGTAATTCAACTTTTATAACCATGAAAAACTTTTCTTCTTGTACATGATAACTTTTTTGTTTATTATAAATTTTTTTCTTCGTTTTTTTTTGTGTGAAGAAATTGGAAAGTTTTGTGTTTTTCTCAATGAAAAGAAAAAGTTTTTCTGATCTGAAAATCTGATGATTCTGTGGCAATAGATATTCAGATAGTTCAGTAATATAGACTATCCTGATTGTGGTGGAACCATGGTGAAAGTTCAGCCTACATGATGCGCAATCAGCTTCAATTGTTTCCATGATTTCATGAGGAGGGGAAAGTTCATTGGTTTATAGTTCAGATTCATTTCCATTGGAACATCATTCAAGGTAAAGGTGAGACATCTTCCGAGTGGTTGGTTAATCAACAGGAAATTTAGATCCAATCAATTAGTAAAACTTTTTCACTGATTGTAGAAATAGATGAATTATCTTACATTAGAATTGGGTTTTTACAATTGTAACTCTGAAGTTTTCCTTTGTGAAAATGGTTGAACATTGATCTTGATTAAAAATAAATTAGATGATAGTAATTGATAGTGATTAGGGGAACATTAGTTTAGCGTTCGGCTTGATGCTTGAATTATCATCTGATGGAATTGATCGTTCGATAAATGATAGCATATAATAAGACAATCAAATTAAAAATAAGAAAAATACAATAAATCGGTATTTTAAATGCACATTGGAATTGTTAAGTTCCGTTAAGATGGAATCAACTTGCTTCATTGTGGACTTGACTGACCCTTCGTTGTCGATAACATAATCAGCTTTTTCACATTTAGTTTTTAACGGCATCTGAGCGGATATTCTGGCCTGAGCTTGAGCTTTTTCTAGCTTATCACGTTTAAGTAAACGGGTTAATTGTGTTTCCTCAGAAATATTGACAACGATGATTTTGTAAAAGTATTTGGTAAATTGTCCAACCTCAAATAGTAAAGGTAAATCTAAGATCACATATCGTTTGAATTTGAAGAAGGCTAAAACTACTTGTTTGGCCATTTCCCGTTGAATGTAAGGATGGGTAATTGAATTGAGAAGTTTACGTTTTTCCGGATCGTTGAATATAATGTCACCCAGTTTTTCACGATTTATGGTTTCATCAGGTTTAATGATCGATGACCCGAAGGCTTTTTTGATCTTTTTCCAAGCTGGTTTTCCAGGTTCAACAATTTCGACTGCAATTCTATCAGCATCGATAACGGTAATACCTTTTTCAACCAAATATCGTGAGACAGTTGATTTACCCGAAGCAATACCGCCAGTTAATCCAAGAAGTAACATTATTGACCAGTAAATTGTCACAATCAAAACTAAAATGAAAGAAAAAAACTCAATCAACAAAACATATAGAAAAGTAAACAACACAAGGACTTGGGTTAGATTTTCGTGTTTAAGGAATCAAAAATTGGAGAGATGAAAAGCAACAATTGAATGTACAATAACACAAAGTAATTGGATTGAGTAGATGACAACAATTAAAAATGATTCTTAAGATTAACAATAGAAATCAAATCAAAGATTAATCAACAGTCAAGGGATAAATAATCTTGAGGCGAACTGCCATCTTGATACAACCCAGGCAAATATCATTTGATAAAAATTTGATAGAATTTCATTAATTGATTTTAAATTTTATCGAATAATCTTGTTCTCTAATTAGTCAATCTTCACAATTTGTCCAACGAACACACTAAATGTAATAAGCATCGGTACTGTCACTGAACAAAAGATTCCGTCTGATGGTTGATTTTTTGTGGTCAATCTAAACACCAAAATAAGTTCATCTTTTTCTTACCTTCAAAACAAATTCCAAGTACCTTTGTGATCCTGGGAACTTCACCAACTATAATATGACAGAATTAAGTAGTTATCATTCAATTGTCACCATAAAACTTGAACAAAAAGGAACTCAACTTGGAAGAAAAAGAAAATTGAATTTCCAAAATTCTGAAGAGAGTGAAGAGTTTTTCCTCTTTGGTTACCATGGAAACCAAAGTAACTCACATGGTTGATTTTCATTTTTTTTCTTTTCTATTTTCATTTCTCCCTTTGTTGTTGTTGTTTCTCTTTAATTTAATCTAATTTAGTTTCTTATTCTTAATTGTTACTATTTATTATTTTATTTTGTTCTCTACATGGAAGATTATATTCCCTTGAAAGATGATTTCTTGGCTTCGCTTGGTAAGCGAGAGAAAACCATTGAGACTCTTAAGGATCGAATCGCTGGAACTTGTTCAACCATATTGGCTCGACCGGAGAAAAATTTAACCAAATTAAGGAAATTAATTCTATTATTGGATGTTAAGGAGGAATCGGAAGCCTTCAGGTTAACCTTTATTACTGGACAAAAGTTGATCGCTTTCTCTGTGTTGGAAGTTTTCAAAGATTTGATTCCTGGTTATCGGGTTGCTGAGAAAATGAAAGAAGAAGGTAATCCAAAGAAACGTTTTAAAAAAGTCACGCTGACTTTAAGAGGATATGAAACCCGATTATTGTCAATTTATAAATTGTATCTTGCCCGTTTAAGGAGAATGGTTCAATTGCTAAGACGAGTTAAATCTCAAAAGTCAGATTTTTTTCGTGACATTTTGTTCAGTGATGAAGCTCGTGAACGTGTTGCTGCTGTTGGTGTTAAATGTCTCACCGAATTACTTGTTGCTCATCCTCATTTCAATTGTCGTGCAAGTATTATTCAGTTAATTGTTCCAGTAATGACACTTTCTAAACACCCTGAGATTGCTGATAAAGTTTGTTCAGCGGTTGGGACAATTTTCCGTCAAGATAAACTTGGTGAGGTATCTTTGGAAATCGTTAAAGAGATGGAGAAATTGATCAAAGCCTGTGGACTTTTTATTCGACCTCAAGTCATCTATACGTTAACAGAATTAAAGATTAAAGAAGTTGAAAAGAAAGGCCGTGAAAAGGCAGAAATGAAAGAGGTTAGAAAAGATTTAGAAAAGATGTCGAGAAAGGCCAAAAGACGACAAAAAGCTTCTCGAAAACTGGACAATGTGCTACTGGAAACGGACGCTCAAGAAAGTTATAAACGGCGATTAGAAAATCATACAAAGATTTTAAATCATCTATTCATCACCTATTTCCGAATATTGAAACGAACCATCTTGGATTTAAGTGATGACCAATTAAAGAAGGAAAAATTCAAAGAATTGTTAACACCAGTTCTTGAAGGATTATCTAAATTCTGTCATTTGATTAATGTTGAATTCTTTGATGATCTAGTAAACGTCCTCTTTAAAATGGTTAAATCTGACCTTTTGGATGCCGTTCAAACCCTTAATTGTTGTCAAACGGTTTTCACTATTTTATCAGAGGAAGCATCAGCTCTTAATATTGACCATCAAAGATTTTACACTCGACTTTACCAAATATTACCTGATATCGATTTATCAATACCCGAGAAGACGATAATTGTTTTATTAAAATGTTTGGAAACCATGATAATCAAACGGCGAAGAATCAGTTTCCCTCGAGTTGTCGCATTTACGAAAAGATGTGCTACCGTTTGTCTACAATCTGATGATCCATCGATTCTTGCATTACTTTCATTTATCCGAAGAATGTTCATTGAACATCCTCGAATTGATGTTCTAATTGATTCGGAAACTATGGGCACTGGTTTGTTCATGCCTCATGTTGAAGATCCCGAATATTGTAATGCTCATGCAACACAATTGTGGGAACTTAATTTACTAGGAAACCATTGTAATCCAACAATTAGAACTTTTTCTCGAAACATAGCAAATGGATGTTCCAGTGATGAGGTTCGTTCGGAATTGGTCAAAAAACGACCAATTGAAGTTTACGAAGATTATGAAGACAAAGGATTAACTTTCTTAGACAATGAATCAAATGAAATTGTTAAAAATTTATCGAAAAAATCAAGATTCCATGGTTTAATTTTGGAAAGTACAAGTTTAACATCAAAAGCAGTTCGAATGGTGAATAATGATTGTTGACATGTTGACATGTTGATAGTGATGATGATGATTGACTTTTGTTTATGGCAAAAAGAGTAAAGGTTTGAAGCAATTGTAGCTGATTTGATGTTAAAAGTTGAGTTTGTATGAATGTTAATTAAATTGACTTGAGTTAATAAATTATTTTTTACGACCACCTCTCTCTTTAAGACCAAGCGTTAAAGTGGAACCCGTGCCAATATTACAAAAAGCTAATGTATTTGAATCTTTAATAAACGTACTACCATATTGTAACTTTTGTTTACCAGGCGGTAATCCAATAGATTCGTGAATTTTGGCCTTAATCACAGAGACCATAAATCGATAACCACAAATCAATACAAAAAGAAATCAATTATTTTTTACACTTACTCTCAATTCCGGCGAAAGATAAATGATAACAAATCGTTTTCACCAGACATGATTAACCATAAACTGGAATCAACGCAGAAAAGAAAACAGTCAAATCCAAATAATTACAATCAACCAAATCAAATTAAACCCAAAATTCAACAAACACACCGAAAGAAAATTAAATTTGAATATTCGCAGTATCGCGCGGACGCGCATGCGCATCTCAATGATTCTTTTTCTTTCTTGACTCTTTGTTGATTCCAGTCTCTTCCTTACCTCTTTGCAGACCTGTTGATTTTGGTAACTAAAACGTTTCCTTGGTTAGCAACAAGAAAACAGCCCTGATTTTGGTTACCAAAACGTTGCCTTGGTTGTCTTTAGTAGTTAGGCAACAATGATGATCGACCCCCAAGACACATTCAAAAAAAATCCGGACGAAGAGGATAACAATTTAACTACAATCTATTATACTACTGATCCATATACTTCGATTACCTGTTTTGATAATAATTCAACGGTCATCTATTCACAAGTTACTGGTGCCAATACTGGAGGTGATACCGAGACAAATTCTGGTGGTATAGTTGCTGCTCCATCCAATTTTCAAATACAAAATGTCCGTGATACGGATATTGCTCATGTAAGTTTAGAAATTAATTCTAATTTTCTCTTTTGGTTTCTTTGTTTCTTTCATGTATCTTTCATTGTTTATTTTCTTCTCTTTTACAGGTTAGATGGCTTTTAGAAAACTATGAAACTGCTGAGGGTATTTCACTACCTCGATCTACACTTTACTCTCATTATCAAACCCATTGTTCACAACAAGGAATTGAGCCTGTAAATGCAGCTTCATTTGGTAAACTTATTCGATCGGTTTTTGTTGGTTTAAGGACTAGACGTTTAGGTACAAGAGGAAACTCAAAGTATCATTATTATGGTATCAGAGTTAAACCAGGATCTCCATTGGCGCGTATCACCGATAGTAGTTCAGTGAGCAGTCCAGATTCTGGTCAACCATCTGCTAAACGTCATAAAACAGTTCATTCTGATGGAGGTAACAGTAGTAGCGGGGGTGGTGGTGGAGGTAATGGTAATGGTGGTAGTGGTGGTGGAACAGAGTCAATCAAGGATAACAATGTTGTGACAACAAATGAAAATCACCAGGCAACCTTAACAGCAACATCCCCAGAATTGTTACAAAGTTACCTAGGAGATCCTAAGTCAATCTTAGCCAATGTTTGGCCGGAAGAGCCTGTTCCTTGTAATGATGCAGAAACACCAAGTGCTCTAGCAACCCGATTTGCTGCTGCTTACAGGAAACACTATGAACAAGTGATCAATGCGATTGGAAATTTAAACTTCACTCTTATCGAGGGATTATGGAAATCATTCTGGCAGGCTGATGGATCATCATCAAAGGGAGCAGGTAGTAACAGTGAAAATGAGAGCAACAATAGTACCACAATCAACACCAACAACAAGAACAATAAGACGCCTGGATTAACATTGGAACAATTACATCAGCTTACATCTAGTCCCGGTATCGAAGCTGAAAATGACCAAGAACCTCTTGCCTCTCTCAGCGAATGGATATTGCAAACAGACTATACACTGTACAATTCACTTATTTCAGCATTATTACTTCCCAATCTATTGAAACCTATTCCTCAACAATTGACCCAACAGATTCGCAACTTTGCCAAAAATATACACAATTGGATGGGCACAGCGCTTGTCGGTTATGATGGTTCATTTGTCACCTCGAAATTAGCCGCTGTCGGAGCTTTCAGCCATACTTTACGTCGATATACCTCATTGAATCATCTCTCCTCTGCAGCCCAAGCAGTTTTACAAAACCAACAACAAATACAACAAATGATCAGTGACCTGAACCGTGTTGACTTTAAAAATGTCCAAGAACAGGCATCGTGGGTCTGTCAATGTGATGATTCAATTGTTGACCAGATAGAACAAAGTTTTAAAATTCTTTTACAAGAACCAAACCCATTTGACCGATGGGGATTATGGTGCGAACAAGTTTTAGATACATGCCTTCGAGATAATGATGTTCGTTCTGCGACTCAATTCTTTTTTAAATGGGGATTTTACAGCTCCCTGGTTATGAGAGATCTTACTCTTCGTTCTGCCTCCTCATTTGGATCATTCCATTTGATTCGATTGCTTTTTGACGAATATATATTTTATTTGATCGAACACAGAGTTGCTCAAGCTACAGGTAAAACACCACTTCAAGTGTTGGGTGAAGTTCGGATGACAATGGTTAAATCAAAGGACAACAATACCACCAACACAACAACTTCAACCAACACTAATACTAATAATAGTAACAGTACCAACACAAATCAACACTCGAGTTGATTGATAAGCTGACACACTTTCCTCGTAAATTAAACACCGACAACAACAAAAAAACGATTTTTAGACCTTTTGTTTCCAAAGAGCACCAAAAATATATATTCAAAAAAAACTCTAAGCTAATAATCACAAAGCGAAAACACCAACACACGCAAAGATAAAATCACTATTTACAAAATTCTTGCATCATTAATGATAAATCTTTTTTTTCGATGTAAATCGAGAATCAATTGTCTGTAAACCTTTAATATGTTTCAAAAGAACTAAATAAACTCATCTATTTCTTGATTGTGCTATAATTTAAACGTTCTTATTGATTGATTACCGTAAAAAATATGAACAAATGAGTTTGTTTTCTTTTCGAAACATAGCCAATGGATGTTCCAGTGATGAGGTTCGTTCGGAATTGGTCAAAAAACGACCAATTGAAGTTTACGAAGATTATGAAGACAAAGGATTAACTTTCTTAGACAATGAATCAATGAAATTGTTAAAAATTTATCGAAAAAATCAAGATTCCATGGTTTAATTTTGGAAAGTACAAGTTTAACATCAAAAGCAGTTCGAATGGTGAATAATGATTGTTGACATGTTGACATGTTGATAGTGATGATGATGATTGACTTTTGTTTATGGCAAAAAGAGTAAAGGTTTGAAGCAATTGTAGCTGATTTGATGTTAAAAGTTGAGTTTGTATGAATGTTAATTAAATTGACTTGAGTTAATAAATTATTTTTTACGACCACCTCTCTCTTTAAGACCAAGCGTTAAAGTGGAACCCGTGCCAATATTACAAAAAGCTAATGTATTTGAATCTTTAATAAACGTACTACCATATTGTAACTTTTGTTTACCAGGCGGTAATCCAATAGATTCGTGAATTTTGGCCTTAATCACAGAGACCATATCGGTAAGAGGAAGGGTTAAATTTAATGTTTGACCTTGTAGATTCCATTCAGGTTTATCGGTTACCTCAGGAACTTTAACTAGGAAAGTTACTGGACCATTGAAACGACGGATAAATTCATCTTCGGGAACAAGACTATCTTCACGTGACTTTTTATAAGGTGGTTCATCATCTTGTGAGATATTCATGTTGATTAAATTTGGATCCTCGGCTGGTGGAGGTGGCATTGTCGGTAATTGTGCAATACCATACATTCCCATCATCATTTGGGGTGTTGGTATCATGAAGGGTGGACCATTGGGAGATGCTCCTGGTGGTAGGACAAATTGTGAGGCTCCTTGTGGATTAAGAGCGGGATGAGGTTGTTGGGCTGATGGGTGAACATGAGGGTGAGGTTGACCTCGAGCTCCACCGGTCATTTGATTAACTATGTTGACCATTTGTTGTTGGGAAATTTGTGGTGGAGGTTGATGTTGATCCATTTTTTGATGTTGATGTTGTTGCTGTTGAAGATGATGATGGTGTCTACCTGGTATTACCTGTGATTGAGGTAATTGACCTTGGTTCATACTTTGACCCATTGAAAGTTGCATGGGTGTTGGTCCTTGATTAGATTGTGATGTAGAGGGTAAAGCTGGTCCGATTCTTTCTTTATCCTCATCAGGAAGAAAACCTTTGATTCGATGAATTTGTTGAATTTGATCTTTGATTGAAATGTTGGCCCGAGCAGCGCGAGTGGCCGCTTCCATGGAAGCAGTGTAACCATCCCAGGTCACCTTTTCGGGTTTCTTTCTTTCATCTTCACCGATCTTTTTACCGATTGCTGTTTCTTCATCGTTTTCACCGAAAATGTCACTACGACGTTCAGCCAATTCTTTCAAATTCGTGTCAATAGCCGAACCTGAGGCATAAACTTCCTCTTGTTGCATCTTCTCTTGAATTGATCGCTCTCGCTGTTCAACCCACCGAGGATCTAATAGACCATAACGCATATGCTCTTGCAATTTTTCCGCTGGTATTTTCTCCCAGTAATTGGTGATACAACCCAAGCATCAGCTGTTTTACTTGGAGCTGTAACTGGAGCAGATTGAGTTTTAGCTTTCGGATTATAATCTTTTCGTATGACAACATTATCCATCTGAGGAGGTAAAGGAGGTAATGGAGGTGGCATTGAATCTTTAGCTTTCTCTGATCTTTTCAGTTCATCTGATTCTTCATCTGAATCAACGTCCATCTCAACAGTTTCCTGTCCTTGCTCTTCAATACGTTGTTGTAATAATAATCGTGAACCAACACTTTCCGGTGTTGTTGGTGGTGGGAAAAGACCTTGTTCATGGGATTGATAGTCAACAGTTTCCACAATAACAAAATCGTGCCAATCAATTTGAGAATATTGGATTCTCTCCTTTTCCGCTTCTTCTTGTTCTTTTCTTTTCTCTGCCTCCTGAATTTTGGTCCATTCTAATCGATATTTGACTTTATCTATGATTGACTTACGTGAGTTAACTTCTTTCTTTAAATCGGTTATTAAATTTTTCGCTGGCATCAGGATTTTTGTATATTGTTCAATGAGCTGAGTAAAATAACTAAACATCCCATGTTGTGGTCTTAAAAAGTCAAATTGAAAATTTCTTTGTTCCCGGTTCATTAGGTTTGTAAGAAAAGATCGTCCATGAACTGCGACAAATTGTGCAGTTAATTTAACAATATCTAAATCAAGAGCTGAAATTGTCGGTGGTTCAGCGATAAATTCAAATTCTGGTGGTGGATCTTTGGGAATCAAAGCAGTTTCAAATAGTTCCAATTGCTTATTTATTCTGTTCTGTTGAGATTGTGATCCAGTCCGATTAACCGTAAGAGCTTGAGATGATGGTAACGTTGAATTGTAAACAGCACTTGGTGGAGCTGATATTTCATTATTTTTGGTTCCTTCCTTGATCTCTTTAACCTTATATTGATAATATGCATGATAAGGATCACCAGATTTAAGGAAATTAAATTTTGGATTATTTTGCTCATTCTGTTGAATCCTTGATTCAAATTCAGGTCCATTCCGAGCAACAAAACTCGCAGTTTTATCAACAATATCTGTACAGAGAGAAAGACAAATGAAAAAAGAATAATAATAAAATTAATAATCTGATCAATTATAATAATAATGATAATAAACTCTAAAAGGAATTAAAATTAATCATCAATAGCGAACCGGCAAAAAAACAACATGACTACAAAATCCAATGAAAATGTAACTACAAATATCAAAAGAAATCAATTGATTACTTACTTCTCAATTCCGGTGGAGGATAAATGATACCAATTTTTTCACCAGACATGATTAACCATAACCTGGAATCAGTGAAGAAAAGAAAACAATAAAATCTAAATAGTAACAATCAACCAAATCAAATTCAGCCCAAAATTCAAACACAAATACAGAAAAAAACAAATTCAACCAAAACCAAAATCTCAAGACTATTTACCGAGCAAAAGAACATCAAGTCTATTCTAACCGCAATCGAACAAAAAAAAAAAATTTTCTAAAAAAAGAAAAACCAAATTAATTAATCATCGAATTACCGAAAAACTAAACCAAATAAGAAGAAAATTAACTAACTCAAATAGATAAAATATTGTCTCGTTAATTGTTAACAAGAGAAAACAAAACAATCAACTGATCCAAAAACGAATGAAAAAAAAACAATAGAAATGAACAAACGAAAATCAAATCATTGATTACGAAGAAAATTAGAATAGAATTAGAAATTTGATTAGATAGAATTTGAAGATTCTAATTAACTTGAAAAGACGAAAAATTAATTATTCCCAATTAGAGTAACAATTTATCCAATTAAAGGAAATTCTTGAAATGTGTTGACCGAAAGATGAAATCATTTGTATTTCCCTCTTTTTCTTGTTCTTTTCTTTTTCTCCCTCTCCCTTTCTCCCTTTTTTCTCTTTCTTTTTGTCTCTCTCACTGGTTTGGCATTTTTTCTCAAGTTTCCAACGTTAAAGAATCATTCTCCAATCAAACTTCATTTTCATTCTGTGATTAAACAAAATGTGATTTGTCTAGTTAATTGTGAATCTAAGAAATTAAAAATGAATAAAGTAAATATAATTGTGAATCCAGGTGATAAAATGAACAAGGTAAATATAATTGAAAAATTCCAAATTGACAAATGATAACTGACAAACTTATTATTGACAAATCTATGACTCCTTCTTAATGAAATACTACCTTCTACTTTATTCTTAATTTAATCCTCAACAGAAACAAAAGAAAGGTACTAACATCAATCAACTGATCATAATAATGGATGATGAAAACAAATTCAATGAAGTCAAAAAGAAACTAACTGATCGAGAAAAGGACGAAATCAAAAAGGATATTTCACAAGCACTAATAATGGAGGAAATTACCAGTGAAAAAACTTCCAGATTGATTAAACTATCAAATCTACTTGATGATTCAATGGAAATACAAGAATTTGTGGTGGAAAAAACAAAAATGGATAAATCAAGAACAAGGAAAGAAAGTAACTCTGAGGTTCACATTAGATATCAACTAAAGAAAGACAAAAGCAATTGGTTTAATGTTGAAAATTTGGAGATTATGCCTGTCCTGATAATTAACTCTGATGAAATTGAACCAAATGAACTTGAACAATCCTTCATCAAATTCATTGATTCAAGTGACAAAGAAATACCAATAATTTGTGAGACGAAACTCGGTAATAATTGTCTAAAAATCTTCTTACAAAATAATAATGATAGAATCAAACTAAAAGAGATTCTAGATGACAATCTTGTTATGGAAAAAACATTTACAATTACTATACCTGATTTAGAAAATCCAATAATCATGATCGAGAACCTCAAGAAGATTACAAATGAAAGCTGGGAAGATTGGTGTAAAAAGATAATTAAGAGAAACAATTGGCCTGATAATTCAATCAAACCCAAATACATATATGAAAATGACAAATGGAACAAAATTCTACTATCAATAACTTCTAGGGTAAGAAATGAAATTGATAAGAGTGATGGTTATTTAAATATTGGTTATCGACTTGTTCCTGTGTATGATTATTTCAATATAATAATATGCAATCACTGCTCTCAGTACTCACATACAGTGAAAAAATGTAATAACCTACGTACATGTCATATGTGTTCAAATCATCATGCTGGTGAGTGTCCTATTCAAAATGATAAGAAGAAATGGATTTGTCCTAGATGTGGAAAGAAAGGCCATAGTGCTAGGTCTCGTGATTGTTCAATCTTTCAAAATTTCCTAAAAACAGAATTGGAAAAAACAAATCATTACTACAATAACATCATCTTATCAAAATATTTTAATGATTAAATATTAATTGGAATTTGAACTTACCGCCCTTATTGTATTTTCCTTTTCTCTTCTTGTTCTTACTCCATCTATATATTATCTTAAATTACCTTCTCTCTACCAAAATGTTTACTTTAATTTGTGCTGATTCCTTTAGAATCAGAATCAAAAATAATAATAATAATAAAGTTATAATTGTCAAAAAAGATTCTAGTGTATACTTTCACCAACAAATAAAGGAAATCAGGAGTAAAATCAACTTAATTACTAGTGAAATTTATGTGAAACAACACAATGGCTTAATACTGATTGAGGTGGAAAAAGATAAATATGAACAAGTGAAAAAAGAAATGATTAAGGTGATGCCATTGGAAGAACTAAATAAACCAATGATTAAACTCATCATGAGAGGTGAAATTAAAGCTGATTTCATACAACAATTAATGGTTGAAAATAATTTTCAAAACAATTCGATGATAATTAAAAGAATTGAGAAATACAAAAAAGATAAATATATTACAATTGAAACGAACAAGGAAACAAGGAAAATGATTGGAGAAAGAGGTGGAAACTTACTAATTGATGGAAAGAAAGTAGAAATAATTGATCATTTTACAATTAAATTCTGCACAAGATGCCTTAGTTATTCACACACAAAAAATTACTGTCCCAATGATACAATATGCTCGTTATGTTCTGGTAAACACACTCAATGTCCAATAATTGGTGATATAGACAATTACAAATGTCCTTGCTGCTTTACCAAAGGTCATAGCGCCTGGTATTGGGACTGCAAGGAATATAAAGATCGAATCACTACAAGCATCATGATGAATGAATTTGAATATGATACAATCTTTTTCGAGAAGAGAAGACAATTTTAAGCGCCATCTTGGCTTTATTTGTTTCACTTTAACTTCCTGTTGAGAAAAAAGAGAAACTACAAATGAAAACAAATCATTTCATTGTTTACATCAATAATTTCCATTTCTTGTAATTTTCAACAGATTATAATTAAATTGACTTAATCATGAAAACAGTTATTTTCATTAAGTGCTCTTTAGATCAACTTCCGGACAAGGTAATGGAAACAATCTATAAGTTTAAATTTAGTGATCAAATTATCAACAAATGTATTAACCAGGAGAATATACTTCTAATAGTGGAAAATGTTGACAAAGATTTAATGGAGATAATACTAACAAACTTGATTGGAATAGATTTTCTTTATCTTTGTAACATCTAATTGATAAAACAGTAACTGTAATTTGAATAATGAATTAATAAATTGATTATTAAATACAATTAAAATAGAGAACAAATAATAAATTAATTAGCTATCAAGCTGAAGACGTAATTAAATAATGACCCCCTTAAATAGAATAAAAAATGTTCTTTTCTAATTTCCTAAATGTAAACAAACTCAACCTTAGATAATTGTTCTCATCTATTGTTTTTCTTTAACTAATTGTTTTCCTTATTGATAAATTCAATCTTATAATTAATTAATTCACTTTGTTAATAATTAAGATCTAACATCTCAATATGTATCAAAACAATTTAATTATTGATAAATCATTAACTTGTGATTGTCTAGTGATTAAGTGCTCAAAACCAAATCAGCAAATAATTAATATAATCAAACAACAACTCAAGATTGGCAAATTAATTATTGATTACCAATTTAATAATAATGATTTAATGGTGTTTATATTAGAAAGAGATACTCACGAATTCAAAATGATAGTTGAAAACATCAAAGGAGTGGATAAAGTTGAAAGAGCCAAGAAAAGAAAGCCAACAATCTCATTCAAAACAAATAAATTGAGACAGAAAGATTGCCGGTTAGATGAAGACGCTTTGGCCATCAAAAAGGAAAATAATCTTACATCTCCATATGTAAAAATAATTAAAATACAAGATGATATGGAGAACTTTCCAATAGACACTCAAATAACATTGGAACTTGATAAAGAAAATAGGAAGCTAATTAATAATGGATTAATTAAGTTCCATGGTGTTTATCATCAATATCAAGATGAGATCGATGTTAACATTTGCCACGTATGTCAACAAATGGAAAAACATTTTGACTGCCGATTAAGAAGATGTGGTTATTGCAATTCAACAGACAAATATCATTATTGTATAAACACCATCAAACAATGTCCCTTATGTAACATTATCGGACATGATCTATTATCAAAGAAATGTTTACTGTTGAAAGAAAAAGTCCATAAATCAATATCAAAGATCAACTTTGAATATGATGTTGTTTATATAATACATACTTACATTGCCAAAAATTAATTAATCACATGATTAATTATATCTTTTTCTTAATTACTGTTGCTTGATCAAGCACATCATACTCAATCACAAACTCAACAATAACTATTTTACTCAAAGTAAATAATTTACTTCAGTTCAAAATTAATATCTAAACTGTTCATTACAATTGTGAAATGACATTGATCTATTGGAAAATTAAAAATACATCAACTGAACAAATTAATGTTTTAATCTCCTTTGATTCATCAAGAATTAGATTCATTGATAATTACTTCAGTTTAAATCTCTTCAATTTTAATTATGAAGATAATGAATATAATGTGTTGATTGACATTAATCAAGCTTCGACTGATACACAAATTATAAGATACGTCAACTTTTTTAATTGTGAAATCAAACTGATTAATTTCAATCTAGAATACGTTCTTTACTTTAATAGAAGTGCAAACAACATTAATCAACTGATTGATTTTTGTGAAAATCTTAATTTAAGTGTCAACTGTTTAATTGTTCAAATTTGGGAGGAAACAAGAAGACTCGTATTACATATTCAAATCATATTATGATTAATTCAACAAAAAATTCAGGTAAAAACGATAATTTTCACTTCCAATTAGATAAAAACAAAGAATTACTTATTATCGCAAAACATTCACTAATTGATTCATTCAGTCGAGAGGAAATTAATGAAAAATTTACCTTCCTTCAGAGAATTAATCATAGGAATGAAAATGTCTTATATGGATTTCTGAATAATGAAGATAATATATACAAAACTCTAACTGAATTAGATAAAGAAAATTTTACCTATTATTTTCCAAAAAAATACATTTACTACATTGAATCAGATATTGAAATAAACGAAATCTTAATTGAAGAGATAGAAAATTTTATTCTCGTTAGAGGAATAATAAAAAATCAATTCAAACTTTTTACTGATTGTAAAATAAAAGCAAGAACAATTGATAAACTTAAGAGAAGTATCTATAGAATAGGATTAATTGGCTTCTGTAATGAATCAATCTAATTTGTTTTTAATTAAGATGGAATTTGGGGAAAAACTAAATAATGAGAATTGGATGAGAAATAAAACAATTAATATAATTTTCAATGTATCAATAATTGATAGAACAATTGAAAATTTCTTTAATCAAGAAATTAGGATAGTCAATACAATAAGAAATCAAATTACATTCAGAATCTCACCGAGGAAATTGATTCAATTAGAAACAATTGAATTAATTGAATTAACTGGTGCAAGAGTAGAATTTGAAGGAGGAATAAATCTAAAACTTAAAATTGAACAGATTAACATACAATCAGCAGAGGAAATAATTCAACAAATAGTTAGATTAGGTAATAATCCGAAAATTATTCAAATATATGTTGATAGTAGATCTTCTAATAATCAACAAAACAATAATATCTACTGTTCAATAGAACTTAATCAAAATGAAAATCAAATTGACACAATGGAATATTAATAGAAATCAAAAAGCTATGAAGAAAATACTAAGGGAAGAAACAAATGATACAATGATTACTGTTTTAAATGAACCTCCAGGAAGAATAGAAAGAGAAATATTGAATAACAGAAACATAATAATTCATGAAAAATTAATGGTAATAGTCAGTCAAGATATCAAAATTAAGCAAATTGAAAATCTTGGAAAAAGCTCAATAATTGTTGACTTAGAAATAAGAAAATTTAGACTCTTCCTAGTAGCTACTTATAGATATGACCAAGATAAAAATTGGTACTCAGAATTAATAGAAACAATTTCAAGATTCACTGATCAATATATAATAATAATGGGTGACGCTAATTGTGACAATGAAATCTGGTCAAATAAGATGAGACCAGACTCACTTAAAAATCAAATGTTAGAAAAGAAACTAAAAGAAAACAATTACCTGTCAATAATGGATAAAAATCTAATAACTAGACCTAATTTAAAAGGGGAAGATAATTCAATTGATATAATTTTAACGAACATTAAATTCATCAAACTATAGGAAACAAGAAAGAAATTAACCTTATCTGATCATAAGATCATGAGAGCTGAAATATTATTTAAAATGAGAAGGAAAAATACTATTAACAATTATAGATATAATTTCAAGAAACTCAGGAATACAAATAGCTTACATAAAGATATCAACATGATATACTTATCACCTTTTAGATACAAAAAGATAAATAAAAATAGAAACAAATCTAATCAAAATCAGGAAACATTATGGGAAATGATAACGAGACTAACGAAAAGAGGCAAAATTACAGCTTTAAATCATAAGAAAAAATTCGTTATAACAAGACCAATTAAAGAAACAATTAATCTTATTGAATATTACCCAGGATATATTGAGGATGATGAAATTGAGAAAGTAATTAAAAAGAATATCAAAAGCTCCTCAGGAAATGCTGATGACTTTTCAATCAACACTTGGAGTTTTTTCATGAAGAAAAATAAACAATTTGTAATAAATGTTATCAAAAAGGTATTAGAATTGAGCAATTTACCTAACATCCTCAAAATAAGTGGAGGAACACAAATTCCCAAAGGAGATGGTACATTTAGAACAGTCTACACACAATCATTTATAATGAAATACATTGACTTAATAATTATGAATAGAATAACAAAGAAAAAGGATCTACTGGTAGACAATAATATACAATTTGCGTATGGAGACAAAAATAGATTAGATTTTATGATTAGAATGAACGAATTAAGAAATAAATATAAATTTATGATTAAATGTGATGTAAGTAAAGCTTTTGACAACATTGATAGAAATCAAATACTAAGAAAAATTAAGATATTTATGAATAAAAGTACTTATAATCTAATTAAATCATTTCTAACTCAAAGAGAAGTTAGAATTAGGAAAAATGAGGAAATAATGATTTTACCTGTCGAGAAAGGAGTACCTCAAGGTTCATCATGTGGACCAATATTGTTCAATATTGGATTAAATGATGCACTAATCAAAATGAATAATAGAGATGAGATGGAAGTGATCGCTTACGCTGACGATATCATCATCTTTTATAATCATGAAGCACCAATGAAATTCGTTGAAGAAATATTGAAGGAGATTAATCTTTCGATAAACGTAAATAAAACTTACCTGATAGTAAAAGAGGAAGAAAGAGTTCTTGGTATATATATAAATGATATGTCAATGAAAATTACGATAATTAAAAAACTCTGCAAAGAAAAATTAGATAAAAAATTAATAGAAATTACTAAATCATTAGATATTAAGGATAGAAAAACAATAATTGGAGCTTATACATCTCACCTGATGTTACCCTTAGGGGTTAAACCATGGTTTCAAAAAATTAATTGGTTAGGTAAGATTGAACAATTAATTATCATTGGAAGGAAGATTAACTCCTATGTAACAGGTAATACAATCAACTATTGGTTCGATAAATTAATAGGAAATACTAATCCAATTGAATCATATTTATCTCAATTACTATTTAATCTGGTTAAAAATGAATGTAATCCAGTGGATTTTCCAATTCTTAACTTGATAAACTATATACCTAGAGAAAAAATCAGAAATAAACCAACAATTGAATTAATACTAGTAGAGACAATAAGTGGTAATATATGCATAATTTTTGATAATAAACACTTACATTATAAAATAGAAACATCAAAATTAAATGATAAGATAGATGCAACCATAAAACATATACAACACAACTTTAATATCAAGAAAATTCATATTGATAAAAATAGTAAAATTGTTAATAATAAATATTCAGGAATAGAAATTAAAAGAATTGAAATGATTAGATGTAATGAATTAATTCAAGAAATGACAATCAAGCAACAATTAACGAAGAAAATAGAAATCAAAACAATGATTAAGAAGCTAATCAAGAAAATGGAAACTAAATTGTATAAGAAATATGCACCAATGATGTTCAAGATATGGTTTAGAAACCCTAATTTAGCTTTTAAATACTATCCGGAAAAGATACATAATATAATCAAAATGATAAACATAATACATAACAAAATTAAGTGTGATTGTAACTTCATTGGAGATCATACTCATCATTTACTCATGGAATGTCCTGATTGGGAGATCTTCACTCGAAGAATCGATTTCAATCTACAAAAGAAAAATCTGGTTGCAATCGATTTATTATCCAACTTAATCGATATTTGGGAAACCATAACCTAACACGCAAGGTGTGTGGCTGGATTAGTAACTACAATCCTTGTTGTTGATCAAACAGTCAACAATCAAAAAACGTGAACACTTTTGTAGATTAACTATTTGTTAGTGTTAATTGTTAAATAGTAAAATGGATTCCGTGATTGACGATAACAGAAAAGAACGACTAACAAAGCTTGAAGATTGTTTATTAAACATAAGATCTGAGCTAAATGTCGATGGACTATTGGTAAGAAAAGAAGAGAAAAAAAATCAACTTTTATATTTCTCAGCTTAAACCTCTTTCTCTTTCTCTTTCTCTTTCTTTCTCTCTCTTATTCTCTTTTCTATCTCATTTCTGTCTCTTTCTCTTTGTCTTTCCTTAGCTCATCTTTCCCTTTCCTGTTCTTTTCTTACAACTAACCTTATGTCTAATGTATAATTTTGTATCTCTCTTTTTACCTTTAATTAGGATTGTGTCCAAGCAGTTGTCACCGATTGTGACCAACCAGCACTCAAAAGGCTCAAAAATATTGAAGGTTTCCTTTCAAGATGTAAGTTTCTCTCTCTCTCTCTCTTTCTCTCTCCATCTTCTATCTTTCTCCCTTATCAAGGATCTTCATTCATGGCTGGTTAACTTTTGCAAATCATTTCTTCAAATATTCTGATGATGTATATATGGTGATCATCTTTCTATCAACATCATCATCTTGAAAAGTGTGTTAGTGTCTGGTCAATATCTCATTAACCTTTCACAACAACACAAGATCAATAATATAATCACTTTACCTCATCATCATAGTGTCACTATTTAAATTATTTAGTAACATATAAATCTGTCAACTTTAAATCTGTTTCGCCTGATAATTATCTCTCCCACAAGTCTATTAGATTTTCAATTAGAACAAACTTTTTACTCTTTTATTCTCCTTCTTCTATTTTAACTAACATATTTGTATTTCTCTTCTTTTTTGTTGTTGTTCAATAGATGAAAAAGCCTCAAGTAAAATTGAAAATTGTCGTATGAAACCTGATGATTACTCTGTGATAAAAACTATTGGTAGAGGTGCCTTTGGAGAGGTACAATTAGTCCGCCATAAAGCAAGCAAAAAGGTTTACGCCATGAAGCTACTTAGTAAATTTGAGATGATCAAACGTTGGGATTCAGTTTTCTTCTGGGAAGAAAGATTCATCATGGCTTATGCTAACACAGATTGGATTGTAAAGGTGAGCCTGAAAAGTTCAATGAAAAGAAAAACATTCAAATACTGGAAGAGGAAAAGAGAAAGAGAGATAAAGAGAGATTCAAAATTTCTATCTCTCTCCATCTATTTCTCTTGCATCATCTCAGGTGTACCTCCGGATTTATAACTGTCAAAGGAGCAAATGATTCTAATTACATTAGAGTAGATTAACTGTCATTCAATTATAAACATTGAATCATAACTTTGATAATCATTATCTCTCTTGCTTTTTTCTTTCAAATCTTTCTACCTGTTGCTACTATTGGTAGTTTTTAAGCTTCTCTCCTAACTTGGTTTATCCGGAATAGACATTTCCTTTACAGAAAACTCTCATTATTGTTTCCCTGTTTTATAACACCTTCATCCTCTTTTTCAGCAATTCCTGTGCTCTCTCACTACATGTATCCATATTATTGTTATATTATTTACATGTTACGTTTTAACCTTTTCCTTTCTTTTTCTCTCTTTCGTTCTCACTTTTTCTCTTACATATAAATATACATGTATCTATGCTTATAATGAGTCAATTCTCTCTTTTTCACTCTATCTTTTCAATATCTATTTAGTTACATTACGCCTTCCAGGACAGTAAATATTTATATATGGTGATGGATTATATGCCTGGAGGGGATATAGTAACATTGATGAGTAATTATGATATACCAGAGAAATGGGCAAAATTTTACTGTGCTGAGGTTGTATTAGCAGTTGATGCCATTCACACCATGGGATTTGTCCATCGAGATATTAAACCAGATAACATGTTACTCGATAAATATGGTCATCTTAAATTAGCCGATTTTGGTGCTTGCATGAGAATGGATGAAGATGGTCTAGTACGAGGTGATTCAGCTGTAGGAACACCAGATTATATTTCACCTGAAGTATTAGAATCTCAAGGCGGGGGTAGTTGTTATGGCCGTGAATGTGATTGGTGGTCAGTTGGTGTTTTCCTTTATGAAATTTTAATAGGAGATACACCTTTCTATGCTGACTCATTGGTTGGTACTTATGGTAAAATAATGAATCACAAAGAATCACTCAGTTTTCCGATTGACTTTGAAATATCAAAAGAAGCCAAACATTTGATCTGTTCATTTCTGGAGAATCGAGAGAAACGTTTAGGTCGTGATGGAGTTGATGCCATTAAAAGACATCCCTTTTTTGCAAATGACACATGGACCTTTGATAATATACGTGAATGTAAGTTGTAACAATTGAATTTAACTGATTATTAATCTTATTGTTTCTTTTTTTTCTTCTTCTTCTGTTTTGATTGTTAACTCTCACAGGTATTCCTCCGGTTGTTCCTGAATTGATTAGCGATGATGATACCAGTCACTTTGACGAGTTTGAATCTAATGAAAAACCAGCTCAAGATTTTCCCTCATCAAAAGCTTTCGCTGGAAATCATTTACCATTCGTTGGTTTCACATATTCTAGTGATTATCAAATTTTATCAAATAGATGTTCATCCAAGATAAGTCATGAATTGGTGAGTTCTTTGTCATCCCTTGTTATCATCATCATCATCATTCCCTTTTTCTTCCTTATTTGTTCTCATGAACATAATTTCCATGAGCCTCTCTCACTAATGATGATTAAGCTAAAATGATCATCTACTCATCTATTACCTTTTCTATTGAGATGCTTGTTCGATGTTTGAACAATTTAAATTTACTCTCTAATCGGATGAAAATCAATTAATTATCGTCTTTCTTTTTCTCACAGGTTAATGATGGTAATAAGACGATCGAGGTTTTACAAGAAGAACTCAAGAAAACCCGAACTAGAAATGATGAATTAGAAAAAGCTTATCGGTACGTTGATTTCGTTTTCATTCATCAATTTTAATTCTTTCCTCTCAGTTCAGGGGTTTTCTTTTTGTTGAATATTCACTTCTCTCATTCTCTCTCCCTCTATGTTAATTACCTTTAGTATATTAATTGATTGTTCAATTAATTGTTACCTTTATTTAGGTGCATAGACAATTATCAGATGATTACAACTTTTTATTGTAAAATGAAAAATAATATCATCTCATCACTTTGACAATCCCTCATACTAATTGTTATTATTGTGATTACCAGCATGATTGATTATCTCCCTAATTGGTTAATCAGTAAAGAGATTATTTAACTGATTGTCAAATGATTGTCATATTAATCTGAATTATTAGTTAAATATTTTGTTTTTTGTGATAATCAAATTTATCAATTTGCGTGATCCACCATCTTTAGTTAATCATAGAATGTTAATTTCTATTGATGGTAATTCTGGTATTCTAAAGTAAAATTGATTCCTAATAATAATCATTTTGATTATCATGTTGTTAATTGTTGATTTAGTTTTTTTTAAGCTCTTGTTATTTAAATAATGAATGTAATGTCCAGTTATCTTGATTATTTCTTATCAAGATTATAATACAATCGTCTTGAAATTCAAGTTCAACAATCATGATGATGAGCAGGTGAAGTCTGAATAATTTCAACGACATTTTAGTTATGCTTCATCCTCATCATCCTCATCTTTTCATCTTCCCTTAACTCACTTTTTAACAACTGAAACAACTAACAGATAAACATGATAGAAGGAAACAAAAAAAAAGCAGACTAAAAGAAAGAAGAAAAGAAAGAGAAAAAGATGATCAGTTAAGTTAATCATCATCATTGCACTTAAAATAAACGAAAACACCAGTTGCTTCATTCTTACTAACTTAGTACTATGTTTTCTTGTTGTCCACTGTTAGTTTTTTTATTGTTTCTTTCCTCATTATCACGAGTCAATCTTTTCTTTGTAAAATTATTTTTGATTATTTTGTTTTCTTGTCAAATATGATAATTGTTATTTATCATTATTCTTATTGTTATCATCATTATCTTTCAATAGTATATTAAACGTTTACGTCCCATTTAGCTTTTGATATTCTTGCCCATTGATAGCCCAACCACTACCTTCTTCTTACATCATCTTCATTTTACCTGCTCATCTGCTAACGGTTTCCTTTATCCAACAATTTTCGTACTCCCTCTACCTCTTCTCTCTCTCTCTCTTTTTCTCTTCCATCATGTTTAAAGAATGGAAAAGCATCTTTAATAAATGAAAAGATGGAGATGACGAAGAAAGAAAGAGAGAGCATAAGAGAATAGATGAATTCAGGGTGGAGAGGGATAATTTTAAGAAGAGAAGGAGGGTTAAAAAGAGTAAACAAGATGGAAAAAAAGTGAGTGAGTTAGAGGGAGGGAAGAGAAAGGTGAGTGAGCTGGTTACTGGTGGGAAAATGCAAACAGTAGGGATTAGATGGAGTAATCAGGGAGCAACTCTTGGAATATGTAAACTCGTTTTCTTTGTGATTCTACCTTTAACTTCCCTCTCTTCGTCTCTCTTTTCTCGTTCCTTCAATCATCTCTTCCAAATCTCTCTCTCTCTCTCTCTCTCTCTCTCTCTCTCTCTCTCTCTCTCTCTCTCTCTCTCTGATTTACGGAACTCATGCAATATTCACGCAACCTTAGTCACAGGAATTTACTTAATCTTCACAGGTATTTTTCCATTTTCAAAAAGTTCTTATTCCTCTTCTCCATCTCGAAGGCGTTTTGTCGTAAAAAAAACCAACTTCTTTACTCACCTGAATTATAAGATGACTCTGTAAAATTCATTCATGATTCACTTTTATATATCATTCACTTTATTTATTATCGAATATGCAACAATACATGACAAGAAAAAGTTTATTCCCGTTTCTGTTGACACTTTACTACCACATTAATTTATTACATTCACATGTTGATTTTAAATGATTTTGAACTTATAATAGTCGTTAATTTTGTTTTTTTTTCTTACTTTGCCTGAGCTTCATTTATTTACTTTAAATCATTCAATTCATTCAATGTTAATTAACATTTACAGTATTTAGATTATTCATTTGATTTGATTTGCTTTATCTTCCCTTCTCATCCTAAAGTAGTACAATGTTATGACTATTACTCTAACAAGTAACATGCATTTTCTTGTTATGTAATAAGATGATGGGAAACTAAAGCATTTGGAACTGGAAAATACATTATAATCTCTCGGAATAGAATATAAAAAAAGAGAAATAGAAAAACGTTCCCAACTTTTTTTTTCTTCCAACGATAATAAGCTTCATTTCTTGTTTTCTATTGACTGTGTATCTTTTTTACTATGTAACCCATTATAAGTTTATTGAGATTCCTTGTTTTCACATTATAATAACTACTATTTCCTTTATTTAATTTGATCTCTACATTAAGACTTATTGTCCAATTTTCCTATCATTTTGATGATCAAATTGAAGTGATTTTATTTCTGAACGCAATTCTTAACTTGAGATGAGATTCTTGTATAATTGTTTTTTAATCTCACTGATTTACCTTTTGAAATCATATACCTGTTAATTATTTTTCTAGAAGTTAATATGGTCTTTCACAATTCTAGTAATTTAATATCATAATTAATTCATTTAATACGTGACCCTGTGTCAATTAGTTTTGATCAGCAATTGTTTCTACCGTGCATGTTAATTACCAAGTTAACTGATTGATGATCTTTTTTTATTACTTGTCTACAGAGTCACATTATCCCAACTGGACAATCTAAGTCAACAAAATGATAACATCAACTCTTTACGAAGTGAGAAATTAGACTTGGAAAGGAGCTTGACGGTTACAAGACATGATCTTAAAGAGGTAATTGACATTTAATCGATTTTAATTACTGGTGGTGATTAATATTGATCTAAATTTGATTGAATGGTGGGATAATCTTGACGTGTTTTTTTCAATTCTAATTTTGTTTTCTTATGTTTATTATTATTTTGTTTCTTAGACTCAACGACGTTTAGACCATGAGACAGAATCTAAAAGGAAAGCAGAGAATAAGAATAACGAATTATGGACCAAATTAGAACAAGAACAAAATTTAAGATCAAAGCTTAACCAAACTGTTCAAAATTCCAATGAAAAGATTGTCAACTTAGAGAAACAGATAACAATTATTAATGATAAATATAAATGTGAAATGGAAATTGTGTCCAAATTGAAAAAAGTTCAAGCTGATTTAACATCTTCCTGTAATAATAAGGATCAATATATTGAACAATTAAGAGATGATGTCAACAATTTACAATCATCTATTTCTAATCATTCACAAGAAATAACTTCACTCAAAGGTCAACTCGAAACTGCTTGGCTTCAAGCAGATTCAATAGCAAAGGAGCTTGAAGGTTTGTTTTTGATTTAAAAACAAAGAGATAGTTAAATATAAATCTAATACTAATTAAATCTAATTAAATCTTTTCTATTCTCCTTTTCTTTTCAGTTCGAACACAATCTTACCAGAATGAGTTGGAACAGTTTAGACAAAAAGAAGCATTGACAATTATGAATAACCAAAAGTTAACAGAAAAGTCTAATAGTTTAGAGAAAGTAAGTTTCTATTATAAAAATTACTCTTTCAGCTAATTAACTAATTTAATCTTTTCGTTTCCAAAAAAAAAACACACAACAGGAACATTCAATGCTTAAATTGGAGCTTAAAAACTTACAATGTAAATTGTCCCAGAAAAATCAATCTCTGTGTATAGAAAACACTAACTCAACAAATAATGACAACTTTGAATCTTACCAATGTAAGTAAACAATAGATTTAAGAATTTGCTAATTAATTAGCAATGATATTGATCGATTTTATCTGTTAAATTGAACTTTATTTTAATTGTTTTATTTTTATTTCCCTTTAGCTTTACAATCAAAACTCAACGAGGAAAAAGGTCTACGTCAAAAAGCGGACTCTGTGATTCAAGAGAAAGAAAGACAATTATCTATGTTAAACGTTGAACATCGGCAATTAAATCAACATTTCCAGAAACTACAAGGAGAATATAGACAAGAAATTGAGAAAGTTCGAGCCTTGAAGGCTCAAATAGAAGATGAATCGATAAAACGAAATTCCCTACACACGGAGGTCAGAGAGTCGACTGAAGAGATAAGCAAATTAAAGTCACGAGAACAGCAATTGATTAAAGAATTGGGTGACTATAAGGAAATTAAATCAACACTTGAAGATGATTTAGCCAAAATGGAATCTCACCGATCCGAAATTAACCTTCAAATGAAAGATTTACAAGCCCAATTGGACGATCAGCAACACTTTACCTCACTTTATAAAACTCAAGTGAAACACTTAAAAGATGAAATCGATGAGAAGCAAAAGTTCATATTAGATTACATGGAGGAAAAGTACGTTTTTACCTTTGAATCTCCCCACCCGAACAAAATTCATTCAATATAACATCAGATAAGCGTTTCTATTATTACTTACAATTTCAATTCTTAATAATGATTAATATTTGAAAGTTCAGTTAGAAGAGGATAAGATTTGTAACCAGAGTACCAACAAAGTAGTTCATGTTACTTGAAATTGTAATTGATATCATCATTTACCTATTATGATTGACAAAAAATTTCTTACGAAGAAAGTTAGATTTTTTGCTAATCATAATAGAAGAGAAAAAAAATATCAATACTAATTAACTCATTAAGAGTTGATTTATCTATCCCAATCAATATTTATATTCGGTGTAAAGTTTTTTTTTCCTATCAAAGTGATTAATATGTATTATCGTTTATTTTTCTATTACAGGAATATAATAACCGGTAAATTGGATAAACTTAATGTGTTAATAGCTGATCTGGAAAAGGATAAAGCAGTTCGGGATCTTGAGATGCAAGAACTTGAGAGACGTCTCGAAGCAGATATTATCTTCAAAGAATCTGAATTAAATAAGACCAAGGAGAAAGAAAGTGAACTTCTCAAGAAAATTTCATCTCTGGAACTTGATAAAGATGATTTAACTGCCAAGATTCACCAAATGCAACAAGGTATGTTAATTCAAATTTCTCAATTTGAATTCTTAAACTTTTGTTACCATTTTCATTGCAAACAAAACTGTTAATCTTAGCAAAACATTATTTGGACCATTTAGTTTAGTAAGATGAAATCATCTACCATCTTTGTTGTCATCATTATCATCACTCTCGGTTTGACATTTAGTTTGACATTTTTCAAGGTTTTCCTATGTTATAGTTTCAAGTAATTTCTCTTAGTCTTTTTTTTAATTGTTTTCTCAAGATCCTCTGATCCCTCAAGCAAATTTCAATGTTGGATTAGTCTGTTTTTTTTATATTACTATTGACAAGGTAATCGAAATAGTTGAAATTATGTTTACTTCCGTTTTTATTCATCAACAATCATCTAATCAATAAATTTCAGAAGCAAAGTTTATATTTACAATGTGTAAGGTTGTAGGTTGTATGAGAGAAATGAAGATGAAAAAAAAAGGTTTTACTTTGTTACAATTTGTATTGATAAATAGCTGGTGGGTCAAAGTTTTCTCAAGCATTTTTCCTCCGCCAAGATCAGGTTAGCTCTTCTAACTATTGAGAATTCAAAGCTTACACCATCACCACCACTACCACAACCAAATAACCAACAACAATAACATTAACTGTAGCGGACTCTACTTTTTTTCTGGTAAAATACCAGGTACTATTATTATTTACTGAAAGAATAGATTATCTTGTTTCCATCATCATCATCTTCTCTCTCTCTTTTCTCTTTTATCATCATCGCCAAACTAGTTTCAAAGTCTTTTTCATCATCTTCTACTTTACTATCCAATTAATGGTCTCTTTTTTTATCTTGCAAAGTAGAGAGAAAAGTAAAAGATATAAATGAATCTTGATTCTGGTTTCATGTGTTTGTGTACATATTCAAAGTCAGTCCAGTTACAATACAATCGGAAGCTTTATTTCATACGATTAACTAAACAAGAGACAATACAAATAACAATAAAACTTAATCTAATCTAATTAAAATGTATTTCTTTTTTTTCCCTTCATTCAGAAATAAACAATATCAAAAACCATAGTACCAACCAAGAGGAATTGGCTCTCCTTCAGAAACAATTGAAACGGGAGCGAGACCTAAAGACTCAGGTAATAAAAATGAACATTTCAAATGAAGAAACAAACAAAGATTAATAACTGTTGTTGTTAATTAAACTCTTTTCTTACTCATACACTAATTATTAACATGATACTAAACTTTTATCTTCTTTTTTTCTCATGATGATGAAATTGATTGATTATATTATCGTCTTATTGATTGTATTGTTTTCTTTTTTGCTTCTATTTCATCTTAGGCTGTCCATAAATTGGAGGAAATCATGACTCGTAAAGATATCGCCAATATCGGTGGAAAGAAAAACAAATCAAGCTCAACTGAACTCCGAAAGAAAGAGAAAGAGTGTAGGAAGCTTCAACAAGACCTGACACAAGTATGGATTGATTCAAGGATAATGATTACTCATTAACCATGATCATTATTATTATATAATTAGCATTATTTGCTCAATTAATCTACCCTTGTTGCTGCCACAACAACAGTATTGGCAATCAATTAACTCTTTCAATCTTATTCAATAACTATAATTGTATACTTTAATGAGTTTTTAGCTTTTTCCATGTGAAAACTAATAAGCAAAGGGAAAATCTATTGAAATAGTTACGTTAGATGACCTTTAATTTTTAATTGAAGAATCACTTTTAATTATCTTACTATCCTTCAATTTTTTGTACCTCCAATAATTTTCATTAGTTCATTGATGTGTCTATGTGATTCCCGCCTTAGTAAATAGTAATTTCTTGCTGACAGGAGAATAGGAAAAAGGTTATTTTGTTTCTCTTTCTAGTTTCCTATGGTTTTGCCAATATTACTGTTGATGGTTTGTTTAGATAATTAACCTGATCAACAATCTGATCGATCTTTTTCCTTGTCTATTTTCTTACTAGAAAATTATCTTTATACACACTAATTAATCTTTCTTTCTTTTTCTATCGTTAATTTGTCTATTCGTAGGAAAGGGAAAAGTACAACCAAATGGTCGCTCGATTCCAGAAGGAAATATCAGAACTTCAGGCTTCCCTTCATGAAGAAAATCAAGCAAAGATTAAATTACAAATGGAAGTTGACTCAAAAGATTCCGAGATTGAAAATCTTCGAATGCAAATATGCCACCGAGAATCTATAACAACCATTGATCTTCATTCAAGTCAATTATCTTTGGTTAATAATGATTCGGAAGACGTTGAGAACATGCGTTTACAGGGTTGGCTTTCAATACCGAATAAGCAGAATATCAAAAGATATGGTTGGAGAAAGCAATATGTTGTCGTTTCAAGTCGAAAGATCATATTTTATAACAACGAGGCCGACAAGGCCAAAGCTGATCCAGCGCTTATCTTAGATTTAAGGTTAGGAGAATTTATTGCCAATCTAATTAGCAATTCTCTCTTTCGAGTGTTATTAATTTCTAAAATCTTTACGTTTTTTTATTCTTTCTCTCTTCTAACAATTTAGTAAATTGTTTCATGTTCGTTCTGTTACTCAAGGAGATGTCATTCGTGCCGATGGAAAAGAAATACCCAGAATATTTCAAGTACGTTCTCTTGTCAATTTTTACATTCACTTGGTGGATATTGTAAAATGATATTATTAATTGTTAATCACTATAATTATTTTCTCTTAATTGTGTAGCTTTTGTATGCTGGTGAAGGTGAAAGCAGGAAGCCAACTGATTCAACACCACCGGAACTACAAAAAGAGGTAAAATTTCAATTCAACTGTGTGAATTTGTTTAGTTTTTCAATCAATTTCCTAATTCCTGGATGTTATATGTCTATGAACTCATGAACATTTAAAGCAATGAAGATACCATCTAAAGTCTCAGTGTGAATTACATGATATCAATACGAGGAACTTATTTTTTTTTAAAAATCTCTCAAACTATTCGAGATATTTTTTTTTCAGCTGAGATTCAGCAAACAGACATAACAGATTAGTGATTTCAGACATGAGATTAAAGTGAATGAACTTGTCATTATTTTGTTTCTCATCTTTTTTTCTAGGTTATGAACTTTTCCATTAGCTGACAAATAACTGTAAATACTTATTCTTAGATGTTAATTATTAATAGTTATCCCTTTTCCTTTAAATTGAACATTTATGCTTCTTAATTAGACTTACATAATTATCATGATACATATAATTATCATCACTGATTAATCATAATAGTTTTTATTTGTTATATTTTGACATGAATACTATAACCAACTGGTTAACATTGACAATTAGACATTTACTTTGATGTTTATAATAATTACATGGAAATACTCATGTTTATTTTCACTTGAATTTTTACACCCTAGTTATCAATCATGATTTTGTAAAAACATATCAGAACTTAATTACATTATTTACTAATCTCTCTCTCTCTCTCTTCTCTCATCTTTAGCTTCCCCAATCAGGAGTGGAACAGCACAAAGGACATGATTTTATTCCTATCAGTTATCACATGCCTACAACTTGTGAAGTTTGTCCTAAACCACTTTGGCATATGTTCAAGCCTCCATCAGCATTGGAATGTCGAAGTACGTTTTTGTATTTATAAATACACGTTATCATCTTAATTTGACAACAAGTGACTCGAAAATATCATCAAAAATTCAGCTCTTGTCATTGTGAAGCTTATTTTTTTGTTCTAACTGTTTGTTGATAGATGATTCGATTGTTAAGTTTTTTCTTTCCTAATATTTTCTCTTTTCCTTTTTCTACCATTTCTAGGATGCCGTGTCAAGGTTCACCGGGAGCATATTACAGAGGAGAAAATAGCTCCATGTAAAGTTAATTATGATCCAAATAGCGCCAAAGAATTACTATTATTGGCTGGAACAATAGAGGAACAACAATATTGGGTTTCCAAATTAAGAAAAAAGATTGAGAAAGGAGGATATGCTGCAAAATGATTCTAAGAAACAAAAAGTTCCAACCATAGGAACCTTTTCTCCAAGGAATCAACTCTGCTCTTTTTTTTCACTGACTGAAAATCATCTTTTCCTAAATTTTTCATCGTTTAACTCGATTATTTTTTTCGTTTCTGGAATTCCCATTCACATGTATATTTTACGAATCTTGGAAACAAATAATCCACAAAAACGTCCAGTTACCGTCCAAAAAGAAAGAAATATTTTCCTTCCATTATCTCTGTTTATCAAGTTGTCCAAAGTCAAAGAAAAGCAACTACACAAACACACAAATCTTGATATGTTTTCCATATACTAAAGTACCTTAAGCTCTCTGTCCTTTCCCCTTTCGTCCACTCTCTATCTCTCTCTCTCTTTATAAATCACTCACCCTTTCGCCTTGAAAACTCACTCATTCACCAATTCATCCACTCATTCCCAATCCTCCATAATTGAAAACTTTGATTTATATGAACACCTCTGTTGTCCTTATATGATGAAAGTGATGAAAACATCATCAAAGTTGTCAAATTTGAAAGGTTAATCAATCCAATCTTATATACACTGTATATTGACTATCTGCTTATGGTGTTGAAAAAGAGGAAAAAAAACAAAAACTGTAAATTAATTTGCTCACTTTTTAATTGAGCATCAAAAGTCACAAAAATCAAATCAACACACACAAATTTAGCCATTGTTAATCAAAAGAAAACAACAAAAAACAATTTAAAACAAAATTATCGTCACAATTTAAGATCCACTGAATGTATTAATATTTTGAAGTAACTATTATTATTATTATAATTATTTAAATACTATCTCTTGTAAATGTAAATTTGTCTTACCAATTTAACTGAACAATTAAGGACTCATCGTAATTTAAGTGCATTAAAAAAATAAATCAACAGGAGCCAGACAAAGGTGAACAATTAACTAACTAATACTATAAGAGGGAACAACTTAAAACCTAAACTGTTACCGATTTGAATTGACCACAAGCCACAACAATTAAGACACAAACTGACCTGGAAGACAATCAAATTGAATTCATCATTAATCAATGACCAATATGAAAACTTGGAAACAATTAAAGTGAAACAATTGATCAAAGGAAAAGCAATCATCTCATTGTAACACCAAACTTTATGTAAATACTTTGTTTTTTTTGTTAATTGAAACAAAAAGGAAAAACTAATCATCATCTTCATCAATATCATGAAACACTAATCAGGAACTCGATGATAATCAACAATTAAGGCGCATCATGACTTTATGATATTGATGAAGATTTTGATTGATAAATGTTACAATAATGAAAAGAAACAATTTTTTACTCCATCCAATATTTATGTACAATTGAATATTAATCATTTAGAAAAAGAAAACTAAATTATATAAATTGCCTTAATGATCGTCAATTGAACTTGAAGAATGACAATTGCGAACAATTAATTCACTAGAAGTTGAGAAAATGATACAAAAACTTAAATGTAATTCGTCAAGTAGCAAACAATCAAAACGAATGAAAAATAATTGGATTAATGCGAAATGAATAAGGAGAAGAATCCAAAGTTAACCCTCTCACAAATCAAGTTAAATGGTTCTAATGACTTGAAGACAATCAAGATGATGATGAGAGGAAGAAGAAGGATGGGAAGAAGATGCTCTTCCCAAAGACAATTAAAGAAAAAGGATGATGGGGTCGAAAGAAAAACAATGAAAGACAATCATAGAGATGGTGATGAAAAGAAGAGGAATCAAGTAAAAAGCTCGCGAATGAAACAGTTAAATGAAAGAAATGGAAGGAAAAGAGAAGAGATCATTCTCATTCTCATCCTCATAATCTTCAGTTTAGATGAAGATGATGAAGAAAATGTGGGAGTGGGTAGAATAAGGAAACGAGAGTGGGAGAGATTTCAAGTGGGTTCTAATAGATCTCATAACTCACTCTCGTAACCTTAAGCTGGTGGAAGTTAAATGGAGCGGATCCGTTGTCACCGAGACCTTTCATCAAAACAAAACTCCCAGAGAAGGAGAGAGAGAGAGAGAGAGAGAAATGGAGATGACAGGGTGGAAGAGGATAATCAGGGTAGGGGAAGAGAAATATCTCCCTTTGTTTGATTAAAGCTGAAGATGGAGAGATGATGAGAATCGGGATCGAAAGAGAGAGAGTTTGATTTCCCTATCATGATAAAAGCATGACAAGAATTGATTTCTGATAGATTTTCATTTTCTATCAACAACACAAAAGATGAAAACTTTTTTTCTAATGATAACAATAATAAGGAAATTGGAATAACTTTTAGAATCGTTTGAGTTTCGTTTCCTGTTTCACTTTGAATTTTAGAATTGAAAAAAAATTCCCTATCATAACCATGATAATCTTTTATTATTATTATTATTTTCTTCTCGTTCGCTCCTCAGAATCTTACAGGGATATTATGATGATTTCCAAACAAAAGATAAATAATATACATCAAAATAGATGGATTATAATAAACTCGATTCTCATGTAATTATTATGATTTATATTTAATGATTATCCAAGTATTACATGATAATGGTAACAATTAACAAGAACAATGCAAGAAAAGATAAAGTAACTCTGATGATTAGAAGTAAGAAAAATTGAAATTAATTAATCAATCTAATGAATTCTGGTGATGTGTATTACCTGTAAAGTTATTAAATGATTGTTGTTTCTGATCAATTGTTCATCTTGATGAGGATGAGGTTTTCTTTATTCTTATAATTATGATTATCATGAGAAAGAAAAGGATGAGAATGATGAAGAGGAAAAGGTTGATTATCATGAATCAAGAATATTGCTCGATGAATTTTCTGATATGGGGAAAAAAAGGTGATCATGTGGAAGGAGATAATTCAGTAAACATTGAATTATCAAGCAACAGTGAAGCCAAATGAGGCTTAAGTATAAAAATTATGATCGAAATCAATTTTGTAACAATATAATCACGTTAATTGAAAACAAACAATCAACCGTTTGGCTGTATCATCACAAGAGATTTGTGATTAACTGACCAATGGATGAGCAGCTTATGCAAATTTACAATTGATTAAATTAATCGAGAGCCTCAATCTAAATCTGTGTGAGTGAAAGTTTTATTGAATAGTCGTTTTGAATTTGGAATTAGGATTTTTTTCAGAACTTTATCGATTCTGATGAGACGATAATTGTCAGGGAGGGAGTTTATTCGTCCCAGGGATTGTCATGATGATAAGATAGTAAAGTCGATGAATTGATATTCGAAATTATGAAAAATTCTGGAAACAAGGAAACTGAGAAAATTTATATTCTTTTTCATTTGCTTGAGAAAATGCGTCGAACATAAAATTCACATTGAGCAACTCACCCTGTTAGAACTTTTTTCTCTCTCACTGGTCTTTATATTCGTCATTCTCCCCTTAATATCTTCCACTCTCCCATCATCATTATCTTCATCTCTCTCTCTTTCTCTTCCCTCAGAAAAAAAGCATTTTAATCGTCATTCTTTACTTTCTCTCGATCGAAACTTTTTACAGTTCTCTTTGTTATTCTCTCTCTCTCTCTCTCTCTCTCTCTCTCTCTCTCTCTCTCACTCACTCGCTCTTCCTTTGATTATCATTTTCTCCCACTATTATCATCATTATTATCCTCCTATTTTCCTCTTTATCGTCTTCAAGTCCCAGAAAACATTCACTTTGTTTACGACGAAAGACCAACATCAACAATTTATTAGTTCAACTATTGCGATCGCTTTTCCCCCAACAATTAATATTACAAATCATTAAATTGTTTGTATTATCAACAGTTTATTGTTGTTATTGTTGTTGTTTCATTTAAAGTGCCCCAAGGATAATTAACGATAATTAATCAAATGAGCTCAAACTATTGATCAGTTAAACATTTGATTATTATCCATTGTGTTATTTTAAATATGGAAACTTTTTTGTCCACAATCAAATCAATTAGGTTGTAATTAAATCAATCAAAGGACAAACTTAAGTGATTCTAATTACATCTTTAAATTGCTCTAAAATCAACTTAAATTACAAAATTGTCATTTGATCGTTTGATTTGATTGAGATTCTCATATATACTATTAATATATTGATCAACTTTAATCATAATCATTATCTGATCTACTGTCTAATTTGTCTGTCTATTGTTTTAATTGTATGTGTTGTCTGTTGATTGTTGAAGGATAACTCCAAACAATACAAATCGTTATTTGAAAATCAATCAATCAATTACAATAAGTTTTACTCTTTCATCATGTTAATCTTATTGCTATCAGTTAAATTGTTAAGCAAAATTTCATCACCACAATTAATAACAACAACAACAACAACAACAGCAACAATTAAGAGGACAGTTAATTTTTCCAACCAATTGGAATCCAAATTGTGATATTGTTTTAATCATCAAACATAATCATTTGACAATTAATTGTTTACTCCAATCTAAACTTAATCACCTTCAACTTTAATCGTTACCACCAAAGTGATTGTTTCATTATCACTGTGATAGTAAATTCAACTACCTCATCATAATCATAATCATAATCATCTTCACTGTTGTTAATTGGAGGGAAGATCAATTATCTCAAACTAATTAAGACTTTTCAAAATTCAATGGTAAATGATAATTTCTCATCTCATCTTCTAATCATCACTTATTGTCATCACCGAAGGGATTTTGTTCACCTTCTTACCATTTAATCTGATCCCAAATCTTTATCCTGATCAATTTTCATCACTATTTTTTTTTACTTATCATCTCTTATTATCTTAAACCATCAACCCACCTCCTCTTTCATCATCTTCCTAATCCTTTTCTTCATCTTCTTCCATCTAACTTTTCATCATCTCTACTTTTCCACTCTTCATCTTTCCATCTTCTCTTCATCATCTTTTGCATTACTTAAATCTCATGGATTTCAAACCTTAAGTCAATTCACCAGCATCATCATCATTCCACCTTCTCATTCAATTCTTAATCTTCCTGATGATTCTCATCTTCTCTTAAATTTGCCACTCTCATTCAGCTCTTTTCCACTCTTCATCTTCATCTTCCACAAAGTCAAACTTTAATTCCCTTGATAGAAATACAATTCAAACCCTTAACTATTATCACCCACCATCCATATAAAACTGTTGGTGATTCGACTAATTAAATGCATTTAAACTTAATTGTTTACCTTAATTTCAAGTGAAATCTTTAATTTGTTTGTTTCTTTTTTCTTTCCAACCAACAGAATCAACTTTTATCTTCCTTTTCCCATTCACCTTTATCTTCATCATCATTTTCCATTCATCTCATTGAACATATTATTCGCCATCAAATACTAACACTTACTATTCCTCGAGGGTTCCAGTCTCATCAAGGAAGTGCGTAATGTTAAGATGCCGGGGGGACGAAGAGGGCTCGTCGCACCTCAGAATACATTCCTCGAGAATATTATTCGGAGATATAATTCACTTCGTAAGTTTCATGATTTTGATTGTATTAATAAAACTATTTTCTAACTTTCGAGATCAACAAAAAGTCCAATTTGAAAAAGAAAAGTTTTTTTTTTTGAATCATCGAATTTCAGAAAGAAAAAATCAACTGAATTATATAATATTTCTGTCATGATTTTCTCATAACTTTCCAGCGATCCTCAAAAACCATGACTACTCATTCACTTTGAATAATCATGATCGTCACCATGATGGTGAAACATGATGATAATGATGTTATTAATATCATTTAATAGTAATCATCGTGTTAAATTAATAATAATAATAATAATGAAACAGAACTTTTTTTCCTTGAGAAAAAAAAGAGATAAGTTTTATCCCGATTTTTCATCATGAAATATTTTCAACTCTTATTCTGATTCTTCTGAGTTTCATGTTTCATGTTCATCTATAATGTAACTGAATAGTTGAAACATGAATTTATAGCCTGAGATATAAATGGATGAAAAAAGTTTACCCTCATCAGTGTTTCCATATTAAAACTTAGGTGTAACCCAGAAACAAAAGGGTTCCCCCCATGTAAATGCTTAATATCATCCATTATCTTTATTCATCATCACCATCATGAACTTTTTTTCCTCATAAAATCTCATAGACAATAATCACCATTTCAATTCATATTCATGGCTTCAATTCCTGACTCAAGGTTAACCTTGACTGTAGCTACTTCTAAGTAATTAAGTGTCATGGCGAAGAAGAAGAAGAAAAAAGTTCTGGTTTACCTGAGCATCTTAACTGACCATTAGGATGCTTTTTTTTATTCACTTTGATTTCTTTTTTCTGGTTCAACTTTTTTCCCCTCTCATTCTGATTTGATTTCGTTTCCATTTACATGGAGAATCCATATGCTGGTTACTCGACAATTCTGGTGATATAATGATTGATTGAACTCAATGAACAATTTTATATCCTCACCATGAAATCAGATCATGATACTGAGTATATAACATGGAGAGAAAGAGAAATAGATTTTATTATTACATTGTAATCAATCAAATCTATTAACTGGACGTTATTGTTGGACATCAGTTGTGAACATGAAGAAACAAGAAAGAAGATGAAATGAAAAAAAGTTCATTAAAAATCTTAATTCTGAATGAAAACTTGTTCCAGACTCTGGTGAAAATATTTTCAATAAGGTTCGAGGGATAGAATAGTTGAGTTCAATTCCATTTAATGAAGATGAATTTCATCAGTCACATAGACTTGTATTCAATTCTCAGCTCAAGGTTCACCAGAACTCATGAGGATAAAATTGATTGAAAATAACAGAAGAAAAAAATATAATATGAAAAAATCTCATTTTCTGTTTCCATTTTTATTGAAATTGTTGATTCTCATTCTGAATGATTATTAACAGAATCATGGAGACTTTGAGATAATAAACACTTTCTCTTGGTATCTCAATAATCATGAAGATGATTAGTCTTATCTTTTCATGTTCAGATCTGAACTTTTCATGCTCTCTCTCTCTCTCTCTCTTTCTATCTTTTCCTTGAATTTATTTAACCTGAACTCAGGAAAATTCTGAACCACTTATAGTAATGATTTTTATTTATGAGCATGATGAGGATGATGATGAAATGAATGGAAAATTCAGTTAAAGATGAAGATGAGGAGCGAAAAAAATAAGGCTCCTCTTTCATTTCCATGGCACAAAGATGATGATAAGAATGAGAATGATAACCGAACTAAAATCACCATGAGATTGAAGGACAAACAAGGTTATCAAGCTGATTGAAAATGAAGATGTTAATGATGATAAAAAAGAAGAAGAAGAAAATAAAATGATGATGATGAAGATGAAGATAAAGGGAGATGAATTCACTTTTATCCTTGATATTATATAAGTTTCACCATCAGGTTTACCTGTAAGAATCTGAATGCTAGAACTTGAATTGAAATTCTAATACAAATATTATCTCATGAAAGTCTTTCAATTTCACTCCCACCATTGGGTGTGTTCACCATTCACAAGGATTTCATTCATCATCATGATGGACTTCATGAGGTTAATCATAATGTACTTTGAAAATTCAGATTCGATTTCAAGTGAAAAATAAGAAAAAAAATCATCTCTCTTTTTCCTCATCATTCCGACTATTTCATGATATTATTATTCATGTCAACATGATGATAACATGAAAAATAAACTTCTAGATAATGATGATGATGCTACTCAAGTAATACTTTGATAATTATATTAAACTGTTTATTTATCATCTTGAAATTAATTGTCACTATTAAGTTATGACAATTAACATCAGGGAAGGAAAAAAAGTTCTGTAAAAATTTCTCATGTTTTCTGTCTCATCAATTTCTCCCATGAATCTGTTGTTGAAATGCTTTGAGCACTTTGGTGGACATGATGGAAAAAAAGCTCGAAATGAATAATATCATTTCGTTTTTATATTTCATTTATCATGTTTTACCATGAAAATTGTTCATGGAAAAGTAGCCTCAGGCTATTTCCACTTTAACAGAAAACTAAACATACATGATAATGTTTTCTTGTTCAATTCTTATGATTGACCATTGGACAGTTATCTTAATTTACGTTTTCAGAACTTTTCAATTTTCTACTATTTTATTTTTCACTCTCGAATTTTCAATTTCATCTTATATATTTTTCCTATCAAAATGTGAACCATCACTTGTCATGAGGAAAACTTTTCACTCTCTTAGGCTTTTGATTCAAATTGATAAAAGCTGAATAAATTTCTGAATGATAATCAGGGTTTCATGTTGAATATTATCATGAATCTATCATGACAGGTAAGCATTGTTTTCACATTCATCTATAACTGAATCAACTGAGTAATCATAATGTGACATGAATTGATAGCCATGTGATTGTTAATCCATGTAAATAAATTGTTAATTTGGTGAAGGTTAGAGATTAGTTTAATTTTTTAGTAAAAACAAAAGTTCCAATTCATTTTCAAATATGTAATTAGATTGACTGTTATCACCTTTTAGATAATTTTCAATTCTGAAAGATATCATGAAAGTTACTTGTTCCGTTTACAGGTAAACAGTTTCATGATATCTCATGTCAATGTTAATATATATCAGGAAACATATGACAGAGAAACTTGAAAATGAGAAGAGAAAAGTTTCCTTTCTTTTCTTGGCATCATCATCATCATGATTGAGGAATTGAAATTCACAGTAATTCCTAGTCTTTATTCAAACTCAATCAACTGATTTACTTTGGATCAATTCAATAGATTGACATGAATTTTTTATCACTGAATTAAAACTCAACTGCCTTGTGAATATGTTTCATCACCATGATGATGATGATGATGAGGCAAACAAAAAAAGCAAAAGGATAAACTTGAATAACATTTCATGATATTTATAACTAAGATGTAGATAATGAATACAGGGGAGAAATGAGAGATGAACATCATGAAGAAAAAGATGTGAAGCAATTCAAAGGGAGAAGTTTTTTTTTCTTTGCGAAAAAAAGTTGTTGATTCCATGGAACCTGAATAAATAAAAATATCACATATAAAGTCAATCTCCCACTTCCATGACTTACTCTCTCCTTTCTTACTCTTTCCCACCCACTAAACACCTTCCAATTGATTCCACCATCAATTTACAATTTCTCATTTTCTTTCCACTCTTCTGCCTTCAGTCAACCCAAATCTTCAATTGATTGGAAGCAAAGGTGAGAAAGAGAACGAGAGAGAGAGAGAGAGAGAGAGAGAGAAATATCATCTTCCATCTTCCACCTCCATCCAATCATCATCTTACCTGACTGATTTTTCCTCCCATTTTCGGCTTTCAAAAAATGATTCTGACAAGTTTATCATGACTTTTTATGTAGATTCAAAAGATGATGATATTAATAGTTTATAATATAAATCATAGGTATTACCATGAAATCATATAAAATTTGAAGTAAAAAACATAAATACAAAAAAAAACAGTCTGGCAAAAGAAAATAATGTTACAGGTAAAAGAAAACTGAAAAAAAAGATGAACCCATAATCAGGAATCATGATGAAACTGAGATGATGATAATGGTGATACACATGAAAGTCTCAAATTCAGATGAAGGTATAAACATATACACACATTTTAAAGCCACATGATATCATGAGATAATCATGGATTTAGCCTTAAGCGTATTACGAATATAAAAAAAAAATCTTGCCTCAATTTGAACAAGGCTGATGTATGATCATAGTGGAAAAGCAAATCGTGTTAAGAATTTTCCTCCACCGCCACCATCACCTTTCCTCTCTCTCTCCTCCCTCCCTCAATCATCATCACCACCATCAGAGTAAACTATTGGCTACAGGTAATATTATAATATTTGTGTACCTTAAGTAACCTTTCAAAAGCATATGTCAGTTAGTTTACCATGTAAATCGTGGTGATTCAGCAGGAAAATGAGATGAAAATGAGGAAGAGAGGGAGGAGAGAGAGAGAAAGAGAGTTTTTTTCTCATCACTTTCATCATTCTTCCATCATCATCAGGTAAATATCATCATCTTCAAATGTTCATCTATTTATCTACCGCCTTCACATCATATCCATTGGTAAAATGTGATTACTTTTACCAAGAAGAAAACAATCAATACAAACTCACTCTCAGACTCATGACGATTTCTTGATTACCACCATGATCATGATTTATAGATATGAATATTATATATGATATTCACCTGAGTAACAGGAAAGAAAGATAAATATTAGATATATGAAAAAGCCAGAAAGTTCTGATGATGATTTACCTTTTTTTGCTTCTTTTGTCGCTCTTTTATCCATGGAAAATACTATATAGCAAATGAGCCTTGCACCAAATTAGATGATGAATACATGATGATCTTTATCATCATTATCATGAAGATACCTTAATATTCATGAACAAACAAAATATACAAAAAAATTCCCTCAAAGGTAAATCAACTTTCATTCCAACGATTAACGGTTCATAGTTTTATC